GCAGCAACAGCATTATTCTAGTTACCTTGTCAGGTGTTTGTACCAGCCTGTCTGAAAGATATAACATATTCATAGTAATAACATTCCATTTCTGGCATTACTATGATTTAGTTATTTTGTATTTTATAGTTTTAGCTTATTAAAGTTTGTGTGTTTCTTTCCTTTCTCAGTTCAAACTTCTGTGATTCTGCAAACTGCTGCACAACCAGAGGCCTGCAGTGTTTCCCTGCCTTCATCCTCCAGTCGGGGGCGCTGCCATCCACTCACATAGAGTCATCATGGTTATGTGTTGTCATTGTCTCCAATCAAAGTGTCTAAGGGCCATTTCCACCTATTCTCATCGCCCACTGTGACTCTGTGAGTAGACTGTCAGTACCACTCACATGCTCTATGCACTCCATGATTTATACTTGTATGGTTTATTATTTCCATTGTCTCATTTCTTCCCTTTAAAGCTGAGGAATGATTGTAATGTGGTGCTTGAAAAATGAAAATCATCAATCTGCGTGACATCGTGAAAGTTTAACACTACAAGAGGCTTGATGTGTTTCAGGCCACGTCTGACAATTATCTTTTTTCACTTGCATCATTTTACCCACACTCCCTTTAACTCCACAGTCATCATATTCGTTTCCCCCACAAATATTTACCATCCCTGCAGCCGAGTCCATCAAATTTGTTTCCCACAACAGGTCTGACCTTTTGCCCTGCGTGTGTCCAATCCAAATGCCAGTTCAGCGGAGCAGAACAAGCAGGATGCTGAAATGGTCCCTGGCATTTGCGGATTTGCTCCTCTCCCTCTGCGGCTTCTTTCATTCTTCACACCGTGTGTTATTGTCTGGGAAAGGAAAGCGACTGCCAGATCAGAGGGGCCAGATGTTACAACCTGCGGCCCTCTGACGCTGTGAGCGAGGGTCACGTGTCACTGCGTAGCCCCCTTACTCCGGCTGAAAGTTTGTCATTGATCTCCTCCAGGAGAGACCGTCGCTGACCTGTGGATAGCTGCAGGAACCGGGTGAACTGTAACAGGCCCGAGTGGCGGAAAAATGTGAGATGGGGTGGTGGATTGATCCATATGTCAGAATACATGTCTCCAAGGCAACAGAATTTAAGTGGAAAGTGGAAGCAGGTTGTCAGGAGGCAGTGGGGTAAAAATGGAACCTCATGACGTGTCAGGCCTATTGAGTGACCATACAGTGCTGCAAGTCAATGCAGACACACAGTCGCAGGAACAAGAGAACGAACCTGGAGGGGCAGTGGACCTCCTGCAGAGCTTTTGTGCAGCTCCAGTTCAGTCTGACGTCCTCGTTTCCACGTACCGGCCCCGTCTCCTCCCTCCCGTCCTTCCAGGAAGCCGGTCGGATGTCAGTAGGGGAAGATGCTACACCACAGTGATGAAACACACACTGGATTGACTCCTTCAGCTCCTTTATTGATATGTAATCCCCCCCATCACTCGGTACATCTGTCTATCCGGATGACAGCAGAGAACAAGCCAAGCACAGCCACACTGAGTCAGATCTGTGTTATTCAATTACCAGCTTCACTTCTGTATTTTCTCGTGTTCCTCACACATTTTGGGACGGACAGAGATCCAAGGTCCTTCCTCTTAATGAGAGCAGAACAGACACATTAACCTTTCACAGGCTGTAGTCTGCACTTGTCTCTTCGCCACTGAAGCCTCTCAGACGCTCGTGAATCGATGTCATTATTTTGCAGAGGAAGTTGATAACAGTGTGAACCTGCAGCTGTTCACAGATCACTGTGACATTCAAATATTTTCCCCAGGAGATATTATTTCCATTTTAATAAACTTTCACTTTCATTGGATTTCAATAATTTATCTTTCCTTGCTCTTTCTCCTGTAATAAAATGGAGAGAACACAGAATTAATGGATCCTCAAACATTCACTGGTTCAAATTTCTCTTCATCTTTCTTATGATGGTTGGAAATATATACAGAACAAGACAAAAATATGTGCATTATAATACAGTATATTTGAAGAGGCCAAAGAAGATGTAAAAATACAGCTTATCTTATGGTGCAGTAAATAAAAGAGATGATAACATATCTCTTAAAATATCATTGCTTTGCACCTCTAGTAAACTATTTAGATTCAACTGATTTGTTTTTCTTGACGAGTGTAACAGGTCGAGTTTCCGCAGGATGAGTGAGTAAGTGAGAGTTCACATGTTCGTCTGCAGTCAATAAGGCAAGTGGCTCCTTTCATGTGTTGATTACATCCCACGGTGTCCTCTGTGTGGACCTCTTCAAGAAACGTGTGTCATTATCTCCAATCTGAGTTTTAAAAACAGATGATGTGGTTTTAATGCCACGTTCTCGTGTCTGTGTCACTACAGGATGAACCATGTAATGTTGGGTTCTGGTGAAGACTGTGGTTTATGAGTCTGTGTATTTGGTCATGTGCAAACAGACATGGGCCTGCGTGTGGGTTGGTAAATGTCATAAACTCGTGCCCCTTTGTTGACAGTCAGGATCAATGTCAGATTATAAAACCCAACAACCAATTTGGCTTGATGTGTGAAAGGGAACTGTGGCTCAGGTGGTGGCTGCTGTTCTCAGGTCTGTGGGCTGAACCCAGGTTGCACCAAGAAGGTCATTCAGGGTCAAAAGATTATTGTGTCAAATCAAATGGATATGGTTAAGTCATATGATTTATGTCTGAAAGAACATATCCGATGCTCTTGGTTGTTGGTTGATCTTTCTGTGACTTTTCTTCAGAACATCTTTTCCATGATATCAAATTTCTATACATTGCTAAGAATATTGTAATTGAATATGAAAGTTCTTTATGTCTATCTCGCATTATTTTGGTTTATTTATTTTATATGGACAGTGCTCATTATTCGAAAACTGTAAATGAGCCAGATTTAGCTGTATAAGCACATTTATCACCTGTATAGCCACTTTTTACAAGGCACACTGAAAGAAAATGAATTATACTTATATAAATACTATTTCATTTCGATGTTTCTCTTGGTTTGTTCTTGGTTTTTTCACCGGGTTGAAGTGGTACTAAACTGGACTGTCACATACTTCTGTGCATCGATCAGGATAGTATATAGTAGTAGTAGTAGTAGTAGTAGTAGTAGTAGTATAAGTATAAGTATAGTTTGGGGGCTGTTGGATTCTTCTTCCAGGTCAGTCAGTCACATTTCGTGCAGCAGCAGGTTTGGTAAACTTCTGTAAGGATCTGAAGCATCAATGACTCCAGAGATAGCAGCGTCAACAACTATCAGATGGATCCATGTGATTGGTTACAGACATCCATGGTTTCCAGAGGACAGCATACGGATTTTGTTGATTCTCAAATTTGTCCTCTGTGACCATGTAATAATTCGAGCATGACTGCAGACTCTTAATTTTGTTTTCTTTTTCTAATCTTATCTTTGATTGTTGCTCATATAAACACCTAATGTTTAGGATTTGACGCACGGGGATTTTACAGGCTTTTATTGGAGGCTGAAATTCAAATGAAGGTCGAATCGGCTCATTTACTGTAAAGCTCTGCTTGTTTTGCTCCCAATTAGCTGTTGGCACGAAGGGCAGCTGCATCCAGAGCAATAAAGCTCATCTCATGTTCCTTCTGGAGGCCGAGGCAGACGGAGCTGACACCTCCTGCAGGGCTGCTCACATTAAATGTTTGTTAATCTGCTGTTTGTGGAGCCTCAGTCTCTCACTGTCACCAGGCATCGACCCTCACACTCGCTGAAACCTACGTTTCTAAGTTCCTTCCTGTCAAGTCAATGCAGCGCTGCCATCGGCTCCATATGCAGCTGATCTGTGATAAAGCAGTGACACTTGACGTAAAACCAATCCGTCTCAATAATACAGGTTTAGTGTATCAATCTCTCAGGAGCAGGCTGCCTGAGGATATGCAAACAGAGGGGACATTAAGTGATGGAGAGAGGTTATAGATTGGAAATGAACTGGGCAGGTTGATGCTGTGTGACGGAGAAACAAAGTGCTTTTTGTGCTGCAGATCAATGAAGTCAGTAGGGCCCTTTCTATTTCAGACACACAGATGTACTTGTTGCCATAGCAAAGTTTCCAGGGTCACTTTAAACCCGAAGAAGGAGAGACCATTTTTTTTAAAATGTAAATTGAATTAGAGCACACAGGTGCATCTTCTCCACATTGCATTGTCTGCTCAGCTGCATGTGCTTTTCCGAGACACAGCCTTATTAGATATAATGGGTTACTGACACAAGCGCCGTGCAGTGTGTGGTGGACAAATCTGAATGGAGCATGGTGATGAACAAAGAGTCAGGTCTCTCTGTGATTTTCATGATCACGTTCAAGTTTGATTTTAACTCTGAATGTTTGAGATACAACAGAGCATGTGTGACATTTTTACGCCCAGATATATATGAAAAACAATACCTGGATGCTGACCTCTCTCCTCACAGCCACATTAGCAGCGAATAGCTACAACTATTTGTTATTATATGAGAAATATTGCTAAGACACTGATATTTTATCCCAGGAAGACGATGAAAACCTGACTTTAACTCTCACAAACACATTATATTCTAAAGCGGATCTTATCACTGGTACAGACAATTTAATGTAAAAGCAATTACCAGTCTAAGTGTGCATTTATTTAATTATATTCAATTTTGTTTCCCTCCACAACCATCTCGTGACCTCCAGAAATGTTCTTGTGACCCCAGGTTGAGAATCACTGAAGTGGACCACTCCAATGTGCTGTTCACACTTAAATCACCTGCAGCCACACAAGTTAGCTGTGACGTGCTGTCTAAATGAAGCTTTGTTTGCAGCTGGAATGAAAACAACACCAAAATGTGTGTTCAGTTTTGCGCAGTACTGAGTGTTGGATGATGCCATTGGCTGTGCACGATAGACCTGTAAGATCCCTGCTCCCTCTCACTGTGTTTGTTCCTGCATCTGCTGTGATACACGAAACGCAACAGTTGGATCTTATTGGTCAGCCGCCGCCGCGTGTCGCGTATAAAGCGCAGCGCGGAGCCTCCGGAGTAGAGACGGTCTGAGGGCGCAGAGCCGCGCCGCGCAGCGCACAGTTCATCCGGGGAGAGGAGCCACCTGTTAGAGACGGAGCAGGAGGAGAAGTGTTTTCTTTGCTTCTGTGAGTATTTTTATCTTCAGGTTTATGTTGCTCACATCTGTTTGTTTACTTGTCCCAGATTTCAAGGCGATGTAAAGTTTTGGAGATGTTGGAAAACGGAGTGTCGCGTAAAGAGAGGAAACCTTCCCGTAGCTGCTGCATTTTAGTTTCCAACTTTTACACAGAATATTAAGTTAAAACTCAAAAGTTAATATGTTCTCAAGAAGCATGAAGATGTTGGATTATTACCATTAGGAATTTTACTGGGCTATTGTATAATTTGACTAAAACGTGGGGAAGATATTTTCTACTTTATTATTTTTTATATAAATGTGAAGTTTAAAGAATAAAATGCACATAAAGAGTCAATTTTTCAGTGTAATACAGTGTGGAATAGTGAAATGAAGACTCAATCAATATCAAGAAGACAATAGTGAAGGAGCCTCTTTGTATTTGTTCATCTATTCCTATTGACTCTATCTGCAAATCAATCTGCAGACTCCGTTTCATTTGTTGTAATGTTGTTGAGTTCAGGTCAATATTTTAAATCATTTGTCAGTTTAACGACTTTGGCTCCTAAAATGTAATGAGGCTATTAAATTAACTTCACTCCCTGCAGAAGACGCTGCAGCATATAACCTGAGATTTTACTCTCTATCTGATTTTACTCTGTAGTTAATATCTCCGTTCTTTAAGCTCAAGTTCAATATCCTGGGTTTGTATTATTTCCTTGTTTATTCAGTCTTAAGCTGAAATACTCAGACTGTTTTCACATATCAGAGCTATGACACCTGGCTGTTATTTTTATCCCTCTGCTCTGATCATTTACATCTCCCCCTTGTGTGTTACTAATTGCAGACGCACTTGACTGCCCTCACACACCGCCACATCCCACTGTCTGGTGGGACCATGTGGGTTCTGGATAAGATCCGCGGGTCGGTGGAGACAGGCGTATTGCGACAGGGAGAGAACGGGGACAAGAAAGGCATAGTCCCGGCTTACAGCAACGTCCTCACTCCAGACAAGATCCCAGACTTCTTCATTCCCCCAAAGCTGATCAGCTGCCCCCCAGAGCCTGAGTTCCCTCACGTGAAGCCAAAGGAGAGTCTGCAGCCGTCTACATCAGAGCACACTATCGGCAGTGGGAAGAAGATCAGCAGCCCGAGGAGTCCTCGTCTGGTGGCCAAGATCGCAGGAGACACCAAGAACTTGCTGAGAGCAGCAAACCGCCACATCATACAGATAGAGAGCGCTGATGACGTTGTGGCTGGAGACACCAATGCAGACCCCGGGTCACAGACAGCTATGTCCCTGCCTTATGTTCCCAAGACTCAGACATCTTATGGCTTTGCCACCTTGAAGGAAAGCCCCCACACCCGCCGAAAGGAGTCCCTGTTTCACTGTGAGCTCACCAGTCCCATCACCTCCCCGAACACCCAGAGGAAGACCCCTGGGAAAAGCAGTGAATCAGGGAACCACCTGAATCCAGCTGACCTCAACACCTGTCACATGAATCCTTACCGTTACTTCAGCGGTGGGGAAAGTGACACCTGCTCCTCGGCCGAGTCCTCACCCTTCAGCTCTCCTCTGCTGTCCCGCTCTGCGTCTCTGCTCAAGATCTTCACCCACGAGACTCAGGCCAAGGTCGTGAAAGCCAAGCGGACCTTCGCTCGCCACAGCTCCCTCTCCACCGATGAGTGCAGCTCGGCTGAGCCTAGCCCCAATATCCAGCGGCGGCTCCACGTCCCTTCCCTCCATGGCGGTGCCGGAGCGTCCGACCACGGCCTCCAACAAGAGCACACCATCAACCTGCACAAGGGCGGCACGATGAGGATCAGTGCCAACTATGATTCCAGCACATCGCGCCTGCTGATTCGCATCCTGGGGACGGGGAGTCTTTACGACAAGCACGTTGACATCAAGAGCATCAACTGCTGCGTCTCCGTCTACCTGAACCCAGGCAAGCTGCAGAAGCAGAGGAGCAACATCATCAAGAACAGCCGCAACCCGGTCTTCAACGAGGACTTCTTCTTTGACTCCATCAGCTCGGTTCAGGTGAAGAATCTGTCGGTGAAATTCAAGGTGGTGAACAAAGGTACTAGCCTCAAGAGGGACACGCTGCTGGGGGAGCGAGAGGTGCAGCTAACGAAGCTGCTGTCAGGACTTTAAAGCTGCAGGAGCTGGAGGTCAGAGGAGGCACAAACCAAGGATGTTGACTGAAACTTAAATTAGATGTTTGCACTGGTTTCTATACAATCTGCTCTTTTTATTCAGATAGATTAAATCACTGGACACAAAGGGAGAGGAAAATGAAGAGGTCAGAGATTCTTAGAAGAGAGATCTAAAAAAAATGAGTCTCTTGATAACCGTCGTCCACATGAAGGATTTATCAAGTCTGATTTTTGCCTGGCTCCTTCTTCCAAACATGAAAGCTCATTAAACCAGCTGGGCTCGACAGCGACAGATGAATTTGACAGATGAAAGTAGTTTTTTCCAGACATGTCTCCCAGCCTTCTTCCTCGGCCAGGTCTGGTTCAAAGGTGTGAGAACACCTGTGCATCAGCCTGTGTCGATGTCCTTGCGTGCACCGTGGTCTTGTGTTGCATGGTTTTTAATATTGTAATGTGGCATAAATCCACAACAGCACAGGACACAGGGATTCTACATTAGCTGCACCATGTGTACAGCACAAAGATGCCTTTGTGAATCAGCGTGAGCTTTGAAGTGGTACTACATCCCCATGTGCAAATGATCCTTTGATACCAGTTACCATGGTCCACCTCCTGCAGGGGGGGAGGGCGAGGACAAACAGAGCAGTCACGATAATCACATTCACGCACACATGAAAAATATAATTAGAATCCAATTGATAATGCAAGCTGAAGATTGCCATAATGTGATTACTTCCCTGCAGCCAGCATTGCCCAGCGAGTATTGTTTTCATCCCTCTGTGTGTGCGTGTGGACAAAATAACTTAATGCATGGATGGATTTTCATTATTCTAGTTGAGAATATTACTTGGGAAGGTATCTCAATCGTTTAACTTTTGGAGCTAATTGGTCAAAGATCAGTCAAAATATGGTTTGAAATTACAAATGCTGCAATACAATTTTTTCCTTCCCCATTCTAAATACCTGGACTTTGTCTATCGGCTGATACTGAGTACCGACCCAATACGAGTGCATTTTAAAAAAATACTTAAGAGCTGTATGCTCCTGACTTTTTATGGAAGGGATGATTGCATCAGTGTGTTGGTTGAAATGGAAGTCTTGCAGATGGTACACGTTGCCATTTTACTTATTAAATATTTGCCAAATTGCTGACAGCTAACTCTGGCCAACGCTACACTATTGAAAAACACTTCTTCTTCACTGCTCTAAAAACGATACTTGTCAGTGGTAGTACAGGGCAACTGCTGTTTTGGGAGTTGTGAAAAAGAAGGGATTTCCAGGTGAAGAACATTTTATCTGGGGGAAAATACTTCAAAGACATGGTATCAAATTGATGCATAAATTCTTGTACTGCTCACCGATACCCAACCGGCATTTTCAACCCTTCTGATGCTATCACTATCGGAACAGCTCTATAACAGGGCTATAGAGAGAATCTAAAGCTTATAGGGGTCAGACATTTTTTTTCCTTTAATTTTGGAAATGGGGAGAAATATCGACTTATGATGTGTCAATGGGATGCAAGGACTGTCTCATCTTAAACAGCCACCAGTTATGTCTTAAATACATGTAGTAACTACATGTATCCACTGAGTCAATGAATGTGGGGAAAGGAGCAAAGGCGTTCACACAGTATATCAAGTTCCTTCATGTATTTTACAATGTATATTACTCATTGGTGAACTTTCTTGACTTTATAAAGGACCGCTGTGCATCTTGCTTCACAACAGACTTTTACCAAATGTGTGCACCAACATCTCTACTCTGCATTCTGACTGGTTGACATCACGTCAGTGCTGTTGCAGATTCTCAACACCAGGAGTACAAGAGCAGACGGTCACACAGCCGCATGTTTAAAATTCCCTCATGATCACAATAATCTTTTACGATATCTTAAAAGGTCACTATGCTTCAATTCATCACCTAAAATTCTTCTTTGCATCATTTTATTTGACTCGTCTCAACTCTGTGGCTGTGACTTAGTGCTTTACTGCTTTTTAGTTAATACTAATTGCAATCGGACACAAACAATTAGTCACACTTTTAACTGTGTAATTAAATAAAATAAATAATCATTCATGTAACATTTTATGCAAACAGGTTGTTGCCTTAGTTACAGTGTTGGCAGTGGACAAGTACAGTACTTGTGTGCATGTACATGTAGTAAATGTCTCATAAGAGAATAATAGAGCACTGTAGTCAAAGTGCAAAGTACCAGTTGCATGGCACATGGACATGTCAATAACACACTGGTGTCTGCACGACGTGCTCGAAGTTAAACGAAACCCTAAAGCCTTATCGTATGTGCGTGTGTGTCTGTGTGTGTGAGTGAGTGATAAACAGGCATAGTGTTTGTTTAGCATGACATTTTGTCCAAAGTTGTTAATTTTCTATGTAGTATTTTGTAAAAATGATTTGAAAAGACTGTAAACACGTGTTCTGGATTTGTACTGAATATAACTACGTACGTCCTGGTTTCTACTATTGTCAGTGAAGTGCCAATCATGCACTATAGTGAGTGAGAAATGCTGATGAGAGGCATTTGAATTATGTGTGTTTCAACTCTAATGAAGCCCACTGGACCGAGCATGTCAAGAAAAACAGAAAAACAAGTGAACAGTAATCCTCCTGCAGCAGTCAGAAGAATTTATAGGGCCTTTCAAAATCAGCCTGTTGGTACACTTGCCAGGGTTCCTCAGAGAGATGCCTGCAGAGTTTGAAGTCGATGGCAGGAGCGGTTGTCGAGAAATCAAAAGGACAGGCTGACAGAAAGAAATAGATTTCAGGATTTTTTTGCAGGATTGCAGCCTCAAGTGCTCGGCAGAGGAGAGAAAAGGAATCGGAGACATCAGACTGATGAATCCCACACACTGCCCCTAAAGCTGCAGTTTAAATCCTGGGAGGATTGACTCTCACCTGGTGTTTGTAGCACACTTGTAGCACTGCTTTCGATACGCTCTTATCATATCATTTCTGTACAGCGACGCTGCTGCTCGGCTTAGTGTGAAACCTGTTGGAATCCCTGTTGCAAACATACAGTGCCTGCTCGGTAGCAGTTATTGGATTTTGTACTTTAACGTGAACCTGAACTATATTCACCCGTCTTGTTATCAAACCTCTTGTTGAGGGGGGTGGGTTCTTCTCGCATGACCTCAGTAGTGTCAGTGCTGAATTTCAGTGGATTCTTATTGTGCTGTGGTGGGTTGCCTTGTTCTCTGACTCTAGGTGGGGATATTGGGATAAAATAATGATACACTGAGAATATGGGTAACATGTTCTGTTTTGACAACTAATTGCTTTTGGGGAGGGGGGGTGCTCTCCCCAGTCTGGCTGAGTCCACTGAACAGTTTCACATTCTGCAAATGGTAAAAACAGAAAGGCCACATCTGAGCAGAACAACCTTATCAATATACATATCTGAAGAATGTTTAACGTAGCTTAAAGAAATTGTCAAAATATAATACTTAAACTTGACAGGAGTTGAAACAACTGAACTTTTTTTGGTCTTTTTTTCTTTAGTAAAAGCTTCCATTGTTTTTAAAAATCCTTTCGACATCATTTTGTCATGATGTTCCTTGACTACTCTGACATAAAAAGGCAGACACTTAAAACAAAAATGTGGACTTGACATTTTACTTGTGATAAATATATCAGCACAAAGATGCGTCTTATTTTTGCTGCTATAAACAGAGGACTTACTCAATTGATTTGTTAAATATTATATAATGTTTGTTTGTGAGGAACTGTCAGATAATTGGGATGAATTTAAAATGAGACATATTGAACATTGGGTTTTACAGACTTTACAATGTACAATCAACATTTCAGACTTTGTTCTACTTGCCTCAGTCCAACAGTCCAACTGATCGACCATTAAAATACATTGACTTCCTCCTTTCTTCTCATACTAATAATAATTACTACGGCCTCTACAAGCAGCCTAACTTTATCGTAACTCAAACAGCCGACATAGACGACCTGTGGTTTTGAGAGAAAAGTATTGTTCACTTTCCTGCTTGTTAGAATGCTGCAGTGTTATAGGATACGGCTTTCTCTTTGGGGTTATTTCTATGTTTTCTTACTGAGAGTTAGACGAGAAGATTGATACTTCTGTCGTGTTTGCATGTTACTACTGAGCTACTTTAGCATTAGCTCAGCAATCAGGCCAAAAGTGGCAGGAAACAGACTAAAATAATCAAGCTGAATGATTAACACTCTTCGTTGTGTTTGTTTAATCTGCACTAACTCAAATTAAAATGTGATAATTAGGGACCAGTGCAGTCAATTACCTTTGTGTTTGTAGTAGACATTTTTGACTTCTGGATAGAATATGTGTTTTTCAGTATAAGGATTCATCCTCTGAAGACCATGAATATGCACCAGATGTGACAAATTCTAACCTTTATTTAAATCGACAGAGCTATTACCGGAATTAATTTTTATCCGGCCTGAAATTCAGCTCTTCTATCCCTGCACTCAATAGCTGTTTGATTAGATTCTGCGAGGAGAAGCTTGGACGAAGACATTTCAAATGAGTATCGAGTAAAGCATTAATGTCTGTGAGAGAGAGAGAGAGAGTACTGATAAGTTTGATGTTGTGTTTATTTTATATATCTACTGTATATAAACTGAAGTGTCTCTGAAGTCTTCCTGTCTTGACAGGTTCTTTCTAAAAAATGAAGCTGCAAAGTGCCGGTCCGTTACTTGACATTGAAATCTCTAATCTCTCCTCAGTAGTATATAAACAGTGGAGGCTGATTTACATGTGCTGCTGCTGTTCTTGTGTTTCTGGCTCCTTTTATTCTGTGACGCTATTCAGCCAATGATAGCTGCTCTGTGGTTGCTGTGTTAATGGGTGTGACATACATTAATTAAATAATTAAAAGAAAACGTTCCACAGCATCTCTGCTCATGTCGTCATTGATTCACAATTGATAAGTGCAGTTGTTTTTGTTCCCATCAAGTTGGATTAGTAGCCATAATGTTACACTCCCACTGGAAATGATGGTGTTACTGTGAGAGCTTTATCTATGGAACTAATAATGTCGACAAGTCTCTCACCATAAATACAAAAAACCTTTCTGATAATTTGAATTATTTGGGTACATTTCAAGTTTTAATTTAAAAAACTGTTGAATTTGACATGAAACAGTGATATTGAAGCCAATAAGGATTTCTTTTAATTCCCTCTTAAATCTGGATTTCAGCACAACTGAAACAGGCAAAACACCCATAAACAGAAGAAAAACACAGATAGTGGCAGTTTTGCTGATAGTTTACTCGTGATATGAACGATTTCACCCAGGGATTTAATATCTGTACCCTGGGACTCAGTTCAAACTCATTATTTAACTAGTGGTAGTTATGACTGACAATTTGGGATAATTTAGATTTTTTAATGTTCAACTAAAATGTCTAGAAGTGTAGATTTCTAATCTTATCAGCAACAAGAATATTCTAGGACAGTGGTTTACAGCTTCATCATAGCGTTTGAGTGAGATTTGAGTTTGAGTGAGATACACCCACAGAGAAAAGTATGCATGTGACTGACAGGACAAAGACATCAATGTGGCCGCCCAGGCTTGTCTGACATTTTTGGTCAGGAGAGCATCACCACCGCCACTTCCTCCCTCCTCTTCTGATCCCATGGCGGCTCAGCCTCAGTCCTGTCCATCTTCATAATGATCTGATTCACCACAGTAATGTGACACACACTTCTTCGGACTAATCCCTCGCCTTGTTAACGTCGTGCTCCCACTTAAAATCCCATATCCAGCAGAGTTTTCATGCCTGTGGTCCTCCTCGTTCCCTGTCTCCCCCAAATTAACACTCACAGCACACACATTAAGCATAACGAAAAAAATACCACACCATCGCCATTAGCCTCAGAGAGGAGTCAATCAGTTTGGAAGGGCCGTGCGTAGGAGGAGACAGGAACCAATACGAGCCAGGGAAACACTGATATTAACTGCTGCCACTGTCACTTTTTTATTCTACTGCACATAATTTGACAGTTTTAACCAGTTATGTTTGTAAACTGTGTGAGCTGTTTTAGTGTCTTTCAGCTCATTTTGTTTTTACAGGACCTCATATTTGAAAGATTTAGTTCATTAAGTTCATCATTTGACTCTACTAATGTAACACTCATTTGGCCAGTGAGTGGCTCCTCACTAACTTTTTATTGAAGGAAACTTCAGAAAAAACAAAATGTAGCCAAATAATCACAATCTACCCAGAACAATTTACAGTTTTAAAAATTATATAATTATATACAATTGGAAGGAAAATCGCCTGCTCTTGCAACAGTGGTATAGTGTATAGGGTCTGGTTGGTGAGCTTTAAGTCAGAAGTGCATGTCAGTGTGACTCTTACTCACTAGTACACTTACTAAAGACAAAGCAAATTAACTACAATAACCCTCAGATTCACTCAGATGCAAATACACACTATGAATCCTGATAAATGAGGAAATAAAAAGGAGATGTACAGCAGATGGTTCATAATACAACTTTAGACTAAAGGTTTGTCAGCCAGTGTAGTTTTCTGTCTGTGACTCATCTAAGGTCACCTTTGAACTTTGAACACTAAATCTAATCTTTGAGTCCAAGTGATCAACTGATCCAATGTAGATGAAATTCCCCAAGGTGGCCTTCAGATATCGCATTCAAGAGGCCAAAAACACATTTTGTGAGGCCACCATGACATTGACTTTTGATGTTTGACCACCAAAATCTAATGAGTTCATCCTTGAGTCCAAGTGAATGTTTGCACCAAATGTAAACAAACTCCCTCAAGACGTTCTTGAGATATTGTGTTCACAACAATGGGACGGATGAAAAACCAGAATAATATAATTTTATTGTGCTAATAACAGAGACAAAGCAGCTGAAACTCTCTCACAGGTTGGAAAGTCAGCAGCTTGTCCTGGTGCTCATGGTCTGATCCTGTGAGACAGACGCACGACTGAAACTCTACACTGACCTGACAGATGAATTTATTCAGCTTTTGAATTTGGAATGGTTGAAAGAGGCGATAATCTTGAAATCAATCAGCTCAACAAATCCAATCTACGTCACAAATTCACTCATGACAGTGGAGGGATATTTGACCAATGGTTCATCAGAGACACTTTCTGTCCTTCTCCTCAGACCACGTCATTCAACAGTCGAGTTACCTCAAACAACTTCGCCTTCGCTGTGACTGAACATTTCCACCATTTATTATTCAGGATCCTGCACAATCCCAAACTGATTCTGTTTCTCTCTGCCGGTCCCTGCCGCCTCTAATTCATCACCCACACACGCATGCAAAAATACTATTAGGTTTCCTGCAGCAGCTGCACATGAGACGCTGCCACTGCCTCGACATTCCACTCGGCGTAGCGGCAAGAAAACATTTTCCAATATCCTTCATCTGCCATTGTTCATTTCCATCCCTTGGCAGATGTTTCTCACAGCTTGTAAATTGATTTATAATGCTGTCCTCTCCTGAGGTGGCGGTGGTGGTTGGAGGGATGTTGGGGGGGGGGGGTCTGGGATTGGGTGCAGAGTCTGGGTGCGACGTAGAGGTGTAGCAATGACAACCTGTATTCCGGAGAGCAAATTTGATTGGGGCAATTTCCAGCCCTGGCTTCCGTGGCTTCAGGGAGGAAAGGTTTAGGGCTGTTATAGGCTTTGGGATTACTATGGCAACCGCAGAGCAGAGTGCTCTCCAAGTGAAGGAATGAGATGAATGTGTACGTGTGTGCATGTGTGTTTGCGTGTAGTGGGGGGTTGAGTATTGCTGTTTAAATTACCATCCAGTGTAATTGTAGCACGCGGTGGTTTTTCTTGAAGCATTTATCCTCAAACAAAAGGCAACATTTTGTGACATTAGTGGCCCTCACGTTGTTTGCAACGTGTTGCAGATTTGATTGATTCAATCTGACACCGACTATAGATGCAGTTGCATTAAGGTCATAAACGTCCAAAAGAATGGCTTCTGCTGGTTCGCTCATTGACATTTGTCTTATTATCTATTTGTTGAGTAGTGCTTTATAACATCAGCCTGTGAATTGCAGTGTAATTTTGTTGTGTGAAATATCAAACATAAAAATACAACAGAATTACTTTTTAAAGAACAGGTTCTATTACCAATTTTGATTAGTTCATGTTGAGAGAGGAAAAAGAACACATACAGAGTAAATTCATTCTTGCAAGCAATTTATATAATTTTCACACACAAGTTCACACCATTTCAAAATAAAAGCTCTGTAATGTGGCACGATATAAGGCATTACTGCAACAAAACGAAAATTGTGCTTTTACTTCATAGAAAATTTGCTAAAGTGGATGTCGTTTTAACAATATTGCTGGAAATACAGAGATCAGCACCCAAATCTCCTGTGAATGTCGGTCTGTCCGATATATAGTGAAATAAAAATAATGAAATTATCAAAATGACCTGGCAGGACAGACTTTATTGCTGGCGGGTCAGAATTAGCCAGTGTGCCACCAGTTGCTGACCAATGCTGTAGTTAATCATAAGACGTAGAAGAAGAGACATTAATCAGTACTTAAGAATAATTTTCTAACCCTAACCCCCATTTAGATTTATAGCTGTGAGGCCAGGGTCAAGATTAAAAATACGTTTGTTTTTCAGCTCTGTAAAAACACTATTTGCAGTGGCAAAATAATATTTTGGGAAAGTTGAGGTGTGTTTGCAAAGTCATAGCTTAGTTCTCTGTTAAATGTATTTTTGTAAAATTTAATGCATATAAATCTAGATTTTTCTATTTGTCTGGGTTCAAAAGAATTTGATTTGAGATTATTATACATCAGACCAGTCTAATTTTCAGTGTTTTCCATGTACACTAATTAAAAGTGCTATAACTCTATGAAAACCAGACCAGTGCTGCACATACATTTTTTAAAGAATCATAAAACCTGTTGCAGAGTTTGTGAACCACACAGTGGTGCTGAGATCATGTGATATATCGTGTGCAACCAAATGTTAAAAGTTAACACAGTTCTTTACCAACTTTTTTTTTTGGAGAGAATCAAAAGTTCCAGTTGATAAACTCCTGGAATTGGTGTTAATTTACTAACCAGTAAAATAATCTGCAACTGTCATTTTCAGAGGCAGCTGGCGAGAAATGAAACCAAAGATCAGTTGTTTTCCACAAATGAATGTAATCGTTGTGCCAGAGCTCAGATTCAAAGCATAACAACCAACAGCAGTGACAGAGATGAGGTTTGGCCAAGAGTCAGTTCCAATCACATTTTATTCCTTTGTCAGACGTGCGAGTGACTCTGTAGATAAACAGTCTTTGTGCACATGGCTGTATGGAACCCTGTCATAGTCAGTTACTGCATCAATCACCTGGCGGCCCGCAGCAGCAGCTGCATTAACAATGAGCTGGCTTCTGCTTTGTGGGCCTTGTGGTCTTCAGTGACCTTGTGACGGTCTGCTCCCAGTGGCCCCAACCAGTAAGATAGCTGACCATCAACCGCCCCTACTGTGGACCAAATCCACTGTCTGTGTTCCCATAGCAACACAGGGGACATTTGCCACAGGTTTCTGAGGAACATCAGGTGGTCAGTGTTGCAGAAAAGACATTTTCGAGGCGTTTGAAGTCTGGTGAAGCAGGCAATGTGCAATTAACTGCGAGAGGCCAGTTCATGTATAAACAGAGACAGGGTGTTTAACAGAGCGGAAAAAAGAACTCATCATTTTATTCCTAATCTTGACCATTGTGTCGTTTATATACATCTAAATAAATTAGGACACAAAAACAAATGATTCCATGGTGAGTTTTGAAAGCCTATCTTTATCACAGCTTTTTTACAGCTTACAAAAGAGTAGGAATACCAGACCATCC